CAGCTAAGTAATTTCGAATTATATTAATGTGTCTCCAATACTCTCAGCACATGGGAGTTCTTTCTAAGCTTTCTTTGATTTTATTTGGATTTGCGTTATTTGTGATACTCCAGTGAAGCAAATAATCGTACATTGTTTGAGTTCGCACAGCGTTATATGCTGTCAATTACATATTGGATCAAATTTGTGCAGCACCCAATATTTTAATCATAGTTAAATTTTCAAGTACATGTACATGTAATGTAACTTTTATGTCTGTTTTATTGCAGGCCAGTATCACAACGCATTTACAACTGTTATGTTTGGCCGAGAATTTTAGAACAAACCATTATGATTTAGAAAAAGTAGTAAAATTTCATAACTGCGATATCAGACGCAGTATTTTAAGTTTACAGTTTTGGATAGAATCTGGGGGAAGTGCGGATATGATCACCTCATGTTACGATGACGAAGATGATGAAAATGAAGGGGAGAGCTTTGAAGAACGATTTCTACGTAAATTAATAGACGTAGAAATTAAAACAATTGTCGTGTCTGAATATTACAAGAGTCAAGGAATCAATGAGCAAATGGAAAGTGAAGATAATCAGGAAGGAGATTATTATGAGCTGCCATCTGAGAATACCCTCTGTTATGAGAGTACCTTGGGTCTTCAAAACATTGCAGGGAGATCTGGTGGACTGCATCACAATATAAAGGTAGCTACTGGTATATGAACCAGTCTGATCTCCATTTGGTCTCCATCTAGTTTTATTAATAGCTTCTTAATTAAAATTCAATGTAAGCAGAGGCTCCAAGATTATAATATCGTATAAATATAACTGTTATAGAACATGGTGCAACATCTAATGCCCGATCTAATGCAGAAACCGATCTAATGCAGACGTACAAGGACATTTTCAACTGCATTATTTCACACTAACTTTTCAGTGATATATTGTGAAACGCATGCAAAAAATGTTATTGCCTGAACATAATCTTTGTAAAAAGATTCCAATGCCTCAATAGATATAAATACGTCTCTCGTGAGTTCAGATTGCATCTGTCCTTGTATCCAACTTTCATTGGTAGTTTTGTCAGTTCAGGTCGTGTACACTAGCAACTTGAATTAGAAGGAACTAGAGCATCTAGTCATCTGTTTGTTAGCTAACATAAAAAGGAGACAAGTAACAATGAATATAGTTCAGTTTAATTATTACTTCATGGAAGTAAACTTGTACTGCATGCATGAATCAATCTGATGCACACTTACGGTATCAAATCACTGAGCTACATTTTCTGCCGTCTTTCTCCAGCCACCATGACCTACACTAGGCAATTTAGAGCCAAACATGTGCATGCACTTAACCATTTCTTTGCTATCTTACATGTTTATATTTTTATGGCATGCTTACAGCACATGTTCACTCCACCATTTCTTTGCTATCTTACATGTTTATATTGTGTTGACATGCTTACAGCACATGTTTACTCCATTTCTTTGCTATCTTACATGTTTATATTGTGTTGACATGCTTATAGCACATGTTTACTCCACCATTTCTTTGCTATCTTACATGTTTATATTGTGTTGACATGCTTACAGCACATGTTTACTCCAGCATTTCTTTACTATCTTACATGTTTATATTGTGTTGACATGCTTACAGCACATGTTTACTCCAGCATTTCTTTACTATCTTACATGTTTATATTTTTATGGCATGCTTACAGCACATGTTTACTCCAGCATTTCTTTACTATCTTACATGTTTATATTTTCATGGCATGCTTACAGCACATTGCCATCTTCTCGACTTGAAATGACCTCTTTATGGTTGTTTTGCAGGACCACAATGCCAGTTTGTCAATGAAAGTTAACATGGTATCGTCAATGAAAGAACATGTGCAGTGTGATAACTACAATAATCATACATTTGTATATGAATATTGCCATAGCAACCTATCAGATTCCAAAAAAAACATACAGGAATCATTGAATTCCTGGAGTGAATACATGGACAGTATGTCACAAGCGGATAATATGAGAATTGCTGAAAGTACGGTCATCAATCGCTACGACAACTGTGCCTGGTGGGGAGCAAGAACAATGCCAGGTTTGAGTGATCGGCCGGTCAAATCGGAGGATAATGATTATAACTTTAAGGCAACAATGAGGGATATAGATAGTTGTATCTCTGTATTGAGTATGGACAGATTTAGGAAGGAGCAAATGAGACTTGGACATCATAGAAGTAGGACAGACGGCAAGCAGGAACCACCATGTAGCATTGCAATGGAATCTGGCACAAAGTAAGTAAAATTTGTCGTCTAATGCTGCAAATATCCAAACAATGGATTTGTCTGCTATGTCAGTTCTGTTTAAATACTGTAGGCATGGTGACACTTTGACATTGTTGTGGTTTCCATGGTGACACTTTGACTGACATTGTTGTGGTTTCCATGTACTTTTGCTGATAGTGACTGTAAGGCTATATAAAAGGGAAGTACTACATCTGCATTTGTGCTATGTTAGAGAGTGTATGGTGATGCAAATAAAAAAAAGTTGGTCATTTCAGGACTAGTAGAAATAATTAAGGTTTGCCAAATGGCTAATTATGTACAATTATGTATAGCCATTCTCATAAGAAATTAACCATTTGGTGGAGAAGTAGGGTGAAACAATATATCACTTATCATTGTTATCATTGTTCTTTTAAAAAATCACGCGTTATGCGTGAAATCTAACGTAAAAACAGGACAAAGGTCATAGCATTGTTGTGTCGTCAAACATCTCGTGGGGGCATTTCCATGCTTAATAATGTGCTGTACACATTTGAAGATAGACAATTTTGATTAAGTATTAAAGGGTATTCAAAAGCAATATTCCTCTGTCAAAGATTGGCCGGTCGATGTGAGCTACGAAATAAAGAAATTCGAATTTCAAAATGAAATCGTTCGATTTTTGCGGCAGATGTTCGACGCGCGTCTTTCATGCATCTTGCGAGATCTCGCAATTGTACAGAAAATCATCTATTAGGAAAAACAGATGGAAACCATGCTGGTATTTGTTTGTGAAGCCAGCCTAGCCTATTGAAAATGACCTTTAAGCAAAAAGTGGCTTCCCCGAACACTGTTATGTGATTGATCGGGGGGGGGGGTGCTATGGTACCAAAATCTCTACCAAATGATATCTATTGAGTGAAGAGATTAGCTTGTCTTGGTCTTGATTTGGGCATGTGGTCTGACTGAGAAGTCAAAACAAGAAGTGGCAGAATACAATTTGGTTGGGAGAATGATAAAATGTTGCAATGGTATTGTTGAAAATAATGATACAGTGATGCTTATCTTTTATGTATATATATTAATGTGTTCCTTATGTATGGAGTGAACCAAGGTAATTGGGATTTTTGGACAGTAAAGATAATCTGGGGAAAATTCTAGGTGCATCAAGACTTACCGGTACTTTGATTTTGATCTCAAAGTTAAATTAAACTTGGCTATTTTGATTATTCCACATGTGACCAGACATCTTATTTCAGTAAAACTTACCACACACTGGATCTAATGAATCTGATATCACAATTAATTCATCAATGAAATATCATATTTTGTTGCACACAAGTGGGTAAGCAACTAGCAGTATTACAAAGACTAAAAAAAGTGTAATTTTGTGTGATGCAAAATTACACCTATTTCACAGCTACATTAGAATGTAAATGCAATATTATGGAACAGAGAAATGTTAGAAAGTGGATAAGCCTAATGAGAGGATTCTCTGATTACAATATCGATTATACAACACTTTTTTAAATTAGGAACTCTGTTCCACATTACGCCCACATACAACATGTGATATATAATTTGGTATATACATGTAAGACTATATCGAGCCAAGCAATTGTTATTATTCATTTTCCCTAAAACAAATTCATCTATCTAAACAATCGAAGACTACCATCAGTCAAAAATACTCGTTATGTTTTAAATTCTTTTTTCTACTAAGCATTTATGGAATCAGCTCAGTGACCATATTAGGTCAGGTAGTAGTATTTAGTCTTTAAAAAAAAGAAAGAATAAATAATTACACATTTTGTTTTTATATAAATGTGTTACTTTCCTGTATGTATTTATTGTATTCATATTTCTCTGTATTAGTATTTTTTGCTCAATTGTATTAGTCAGTGTGTGACTTTTCTTTTCAAGTTCAAATAAACATAATTATCTATCTATCTACAGTTATGATGCAAGTCCAAAGGACTGTAACTACAAAACATGTTGCATGCTGCCATTGGCAGTACAGTGCAATCATTATGGGGTTACAATGGATTATTTGCCAACATTTAGAGCAATTTGTAGATCAGAACAGTATCGACAAGCCACTAATTCCAAACGAAGGTAGGTTATCTTAGTACGCAGTCACATCCACATGCTCACTCCATACAAGGTTTACTACTATTAGCGAGAAGAATGATTCGTTAGCATGCTTTTATATTCCCAAAAATATTTTAGGAATTGATTGACCAGAGCACACGGGGCGGTGACCAGAGAACATGTATGCTATTAAACTTGTTTGGCGCCCTCTTGTGTATTAACAGAGCAATGTTTTCTTGTATATTCATTTACTTTATATTTTGATATTCCTAGATTTCTCCACTATTTGGACCAGGCAGCACTATCACTACCGCAATCCACGTTGAACACCTTTACGAAAGCTTTCACTGACCATACAACATAGAATTCCATTTATCTGCAATGCCATAAAGACCTGGAACGCAAGAACACTCTTGATGAACTTAACCCACAAAATTCCATTTGTAGATTTGCTAGATTTGATGGGTCAATTAATGTAACACACTGATATCCATACTAATTTTACTTGTCTTGGATACATCTCCTTTGGATGTCTAATTACACCATGCTAGCAACTGCACTCGTATTAGGCAATCAACATATAAGGGTAGTCTTCTGTTGCAGCATTCTTGGTAGCTCACTCCCACTGCTTAACAATGGTGTACTTCCTTGAATTAATGTATATATGTTTGATATTAAAATACGTAAATGTTTACTGTTATGTGTTCGCAAACTGCAAATCTTTTACTTTCGAGTGGCCCTACTCAGCATGTAGCATTGCTCCAGTGAATGGTCACATGGACCATGCCCAGGAAATGTGTACATTTATAGAAAATAAATTTTTACTGTTAAATATTAATACTTGTGATTATCCATGGTCATTCAGCTCAGACTAGTTTTAATAAATACACAAAGTGGATCTCGTCTTTATTTATCCCTGATAATAAGCATCAATTTTCATTTAATGTATTAATTGTGCCCCTGGGCCAGTACAAAAAACGTTTGGATTGATACTTTGTTGGGTTGGGGTAGTAGTGCATTTTATATTGTGTGTACATGATGTATATAATAAAGAATGAGTTGTACTGGATTGTCATCTTTATTTTGAAGATCTGTGTGTGATGGGTACTTGTTGAGTAACCAAATGATGAATGTTCCCAGTGGTGGAGAGTCTGAGATAAATAGGCGGACATAATATGTGAAAAATACATATTGATAAAATATACTACAAAGGTAGGTTTCCATGTATCCAGACGGAATACACATAATCAATGTTAAAACTGTTCTGCATATAATGTCTCATCCATCTTCCCAGTGTGAGGGGAAGATAAGTAGTTGCGGAATAAGTGGACGTATCAAGATGCAATCGATCTTCATTAGCTTATAGGCTCTATCTGCTGTGATTAATGTTAAAGGTTTAAAACCTATCCTGCAACTGAGGTGTTGTGCATGATTAGTTTTGTGGAAGTGATTTTCCCACATGGCAAGCATAAATGAGTGTTTTGATCTTGCCATTCTGTTCAATAAATACTGACTTTGACTTCTTAGATGTCCCAGGAATTTACCTACCTTTGAAGTGTATTTTTTTCATTGACTAAAGTTGAAAAGAAATATATTTCCTATCAAAGTTTCAGTGGGTTGTTAGAACAAAGACAAGCCAAAAAGTAGTATTGCTTGAATAAAAGTATACAACCAGAATAGTACTCTGTGTAGATTGTTGCCATGGCAATTACCACATGAAAATAGTTTTAAAATAAAAAATGGGATGTCAACCAACATCAGATTCCACAAGTTACTACGTCAATGAATGCAGTGAATCTGTATGTTAACTCGCACCAGTCATGTTGGTCTGCGTGCGCCTAGCATTGATCAACAAGTGGACAACTACTCAAATGTAAAAATCGATTTATTTATTTTATTATTTATGTAATATGTTGTGTTACAAGGATAAAAGTAACTATAATTAGTTAAAAGAAAATGTAGTGTAAATGGTTTGATTCCTATGACATGATCTTCAAATTTTACTTCTTGACATGGGATGATTAAGTGTTCTAAAATGTACATAATACCATTTTATTGGGTTTGTTTCATATTATTCGTAATACAGTTTTCCCAACATCATTCATATAGTATGAGGAGAACTTAAAAAGAGATCTGTAAATGTATAAAAAGTAAACAGAACTTTAAAACAGACTATAAGAACTGACAAAAGAAAATGGTATACAAAGTTTCACAATTTGGAAATAAAAAAAGGCAGACACACAAAACAAAAACTTGTAAAAGCCAGAATAGGCAATGAACATTTAAATGAAAATTTTGTTCAAATTTGGTACATACATAATAGGACCTTGATGCATGTCATTTTTTTTTTGGATCGTGTTTGAAATGGCCGACTGGCGGCCATTTTGTTTTCAAGAATTCAGTTCTGAATCCGTATCTGAGACATGTGTTGTACATATGCAGGTGCATTTCGGATCAGACCACTGAAAGTGGTCTGAGATTTCGGTCATGATCTGCTTTGAATGTATATGTCACTCAAATATGAACGGAATGGGGACGTGTCATTGACAATGACTTGTTTTTTATGGACTTGTCAGGAATATAATGTAAATTTATTTCCAAGGAGTCAATAAAGTTATTATTGTATCAAATTCAACCTTCCTTGATTTGGTATTCATGAGATTTCTATTAGTCTTTTATCTTTGAGGGCTTCTCATTCTTCAAGTACTCTTTACCAACTTCCACTGCTATTGGTTAATTCACTATCATTGAGAAACCTGTTTCACCTGCAATAAAATGGTTAAAATTGGTTGTGATACATGTTAACGAGCCCTAAAAGATTCCTGATAGTGTAAAAAGTTAATTGTATCTTGGACATGAACATTTCTTGCTAAAAGCAAAGCATATCACTGTTCAGTTACTGAATGTTCTTTCGCAATACAAGATTTCCATGATTGATTGATAAGGACTGAATTGCGGTAATAATCTATACACATTGTCACTGATTTAATGTTGAACATGTCTCCAGTAATTGCCATTAATTCAGCTTGTAGTGTGCTCCAAGCATTGTTACTGATTGCATGATGTGGCTTTGATATAGGATCTGATATAATGAAGACTAATATAGCATTCTGCTAATATTTGGATGTGTGCGAGTTGTCTATGGATCAAGGTGCAATTCTATTCAGAGAACGAAGCAAATAAGTTGTGTATAATCCTGCAAAACCTCACAAGTTTACATACTGAGTGAGTCAGTGTCAGTATGTGTGCACCCCTTGGACTACCAGAATCCTGCCTACATTGCTAACTCTTCAGGCAATTCAGGAAGGGTTGTTAAAAAATATATTAGGGATATGATGCTGTCAATATACATCATTGAAGACAATACATGTTAGTGAGGGTTGAACAATCATGAGATAATATATTGGACCAACGAAGTACTGCCATTACAACTGTGACTTTTGTGACTGGCTTTAGTTCTCTGAGTTCATGTAACAAGGTATTTCAGAGAAAAAATGCACGATCATAAAAATATATTATGAAGTGACTTTGCATATTGATACTTGATAAAAAGAAAATGTCAGATTTGTCAATTAAATGAAATACAAAATGAAGAGCACTTTCTTAAATGCGGCCTTCATAAGAAAGAAAGAAAAGTGACCTCAAAAATTTTATGCTAGCTCCCAAAACTTTCTGACAAAGAAATAAAGAGTTCTTCAAATTGCTAATTACTTCCATAATTATTTTAATATTCGAGAGAACTTGAAATGAGTACTACCAGTACATTTACTTTAATTTATTGTATTAATTTAATTTTTTCATTGCATACCTTTATTTTATAATCAAAGTTCTATAAAGAACACAATAACAACAAAAGTTTGCGTATGATCAAAACATTCAACAATGAAAATAATAATGAAGATTTTGAATGTTTTTTCCCAGACATTAATAATTTTTACACTGTAAAATTCGATTGTATATAAATACTAGTGTAATAAAACTGTTTTATCATTGTAGAAGTGGAAATAAACGACGACACAATTTTCAAAATTTCATTTTCCCAAAAAAAGATTCCCTAATTTGCCACAGGATGAATGAAAATTCCCATTTTCTAATTTTTTGCAAGAGGAGTGCTCGACCAAGCGCCCACTCCTAAAGAACATGTTTTTGAGGGCTGAGTACCCTGGGTATTAAGTTGAATGAATACAGTGATATGCATTTGTTTGAACAACAGGGACACAATGTCATGTAAACTGTAATGACCTGACAAGGGTATTGTGTTAAGTAACCTAATTGTTATATAAATAAATACCCGGTACCTAACAATTAATGGTAGTTATTTAAGGTTATTACGAGGATACCTCAAAGTATGCATGAAGACAGTACACAGCTGGAGTATCAACCGACGCGCAGCATATTTGGAATTTGCATTTCCTAATATGGTAGGATGAAAATACCCTGTAAAATACCGCAAAATTACGGCATGCTGCAACTTATGGCGTTACGGTGACAAATGTATAATAATGATGTTTATGACAAACTGTAAATTTCATTTCCATTTTTCTTATTAAGATAAACAATTTATTAAGCAAATTGTCAAAAATTTGTGGTATGCAAATTACGCAATAAAATTACATCTGACCTCAATTTGCATCTCTCTTACATAAATTAATATTCAATATTGAGCAATGAAAAACTTGTCTTTTTAATAAACTGTGCCAAAATGAATTCCAATAGCTGACATTGTAGTTCTAAAATGACTGACCATTGCTACGAGCTGAAAAAATAATAGAAACATGTTTTTGAGTCCAGCAAACTGTTGAAAGTACCAGTAACCACAGGTTACACACGAAGGACTGACTCCGAAACATTTCACCCTGAATGGATGGTGCCCTCTTGTACCAAGCCTCTCTACACCTAAATATATTTTAGAGTTTAAGGATGTAAATATCTTACCAGTAATCCAAGGAGTACTCCATTTGAAGTCAATAGACCAACTACAAGGGTAGCAATTACTGAGATTGACCATCTACTTTGATCTGACGTTTTTGAAAACTTGACAATGACCATAAACATTATTAACAGGCTAAATATCAAGGATATAACACTGATGACCAACGCTGGTGACCATTCTTCTTTTGTACAATGATCCAAATAACACACAACGAGATAGACGAGCACAACAATTGTCAAGAATACTGTAAATCCATATAACAGTTTGAGTACAATTGTAACCTGTGAATGAATTCCAAATAAATACATGTACTGAGTAAGATTAAATTTAAAAAGCTCCAATTAATTTAAAACAAAAGCTTACAAAGAACTCCTATGTGCTTGAGGGTATTGTCAGAAAAAAACAGATATAAGAAATATTCAAAATTCATTAAAAAAATTTAAACTAGCCTATTAAACAAACAGCATTTGCTCTTTGAGATCCACAATGTGAAAGCAATGTGATCCCCATAATTGAAGTTTATAATACTACACTAATGTCAGTAAAGACACTTTTATTTCTATATACAATGACTTTCATTTGAAATCAGTTGATTGTTCAAATCAAAATGAGACAGGTACATCCATCCATTCCATCAGTAAGATGGAAATCACTAATTGAGTTACCGGTAATAAATATTTCAGTTGAAAACAAATAATTTATAGTATACTTTAGTGTAAATAGAAAAATTACAACAAAATGGAAAAAAAAATATTGTACATCTATGGTTTGTGGTCTGAGGAGTATATCATGTTAATC